ACTATCTGTATACGGGTAAAACTGAGGCTAATGAGCACCTCAATTTTCTGGTGGGGAAAACGAAGCAAGGGTATAACTACATGGAATCAGAATCGAAGCTAGGAACCTCTCGTGTTGAGGCCCGAACGAAGTACCTACCACTGGAGTCATCAAGACCACGCCCCCAGATCCGGTTCAAGTTCCAAGACCTCGGAAGAGTATTACCAAACGGTTTCACACGACTAAAGAAGGGCCATGATATCCACATCCAACCGGATATCACAGCGTGGATCTTGTCCCGTATCGGCGACAAATAAGTGATTAACGAAAAAGAGGATTTTTACCTTTCTTAGAATTGTACTAGGGATGAAACTCTTCTATTACATAACAGAGATGATTTTTATGCAATGGACACATTGTAACACGCATATCAAGGCAATATATATTTATTTTCTCTGCTTCTAAAGTTATTCAAAGTTCTTATTTTTGCTCATAGTCTTTAATAAGTATTTGGCTTCGAACCGCGGGTAGACCAATCACTAAGTTCAGACCCGAGCACGGACCTAACATCACAACTGGTTTGGTCATTATTTCGATCTTTAATTAACATATTTAACGTTATTGATCACTTGTATTAAATTAGCCCACATATCCTTAAAACCGCGTATAAATTCAATTGTTGTCCATTTTAAGAGTAAACACAATTGAATTAAAATTAAGCATTTTTTATTTTTACAAATGATCGAAATGATTATAAGATGAAATAAAATAAATAAAATAAAACGGAAGATATTATTATTGATTAAATGCAGATGAACAAGAATTTGTTGTTATGATTTAACTACAAAAGTAATTGGACTGCAATATCACTACCACTATGCTTCTTGTCATTTTCAGATAGATTACAATGGGGTAAGAGGGGGTTTATTTATAGCTAAACCCTTATATAACGGCTCCCTATAATCTCGCCTGCCTATTATGGACATTATCGACATGTCCCTTACATTACGCCTAGTGGATATATAACTACCTAGGGTTTAAATACTAAATTTTGAGTGTCTTATGATTCATTCAACTCGAGATAACAACATACGGATACTCACATACTATCACGACCCCATTTTTCCACCTTAGGATGTCGTGACGGCATCTACTCTTTAAGACTAGGTAAGCCTAATATTTAATAATAACTCAACAGAAATACTAAAGCAAGACTGATAAACTCATATAAACTCCCAAATAAGATCTCAACAACATTTCTCACAAAACCGGTGGAACTGAGTCATAAGCTCTATAGGATAATCTAGAATGTTTACTACAACACTATTTGAATAAGAAACAACAAAATGAAATGCTATAGAAGGTGATTCCGAGGCCTGCAGACGCCAAGCAGTTATACCTTGATGTCTTCGGAAAGCAGCTAATAGTCAATCACTATCGTCCAATACGAATAGAGTAGTGGCGAGGCCAAGTCAAGACACCTACTAGGACATATTAAACAGAATGAAAACATAATAACGAGAAATAATGGGAGGCGAAGAAATAAATGATACGAAACAAGTCAATAACATAGACTAAAGACAGAATTGTAAGTGTGGAGATAACATAGAGGAAACAATTATAGAGAACCACAATAGTCAAATACGGACAAAACTGATAACACAAGCAAGAATAAAAGCAACAAGGAGTGTTTCACCAATAACTCTTTTCAAACTGAGATGCACAACAAGAATCACAACCGATGTACCGCCTGGTACATACCAAGAATCACAACCGAGGTACCGCCTCGTATATAACAAGAATCACAACCGAGGTACCGCCTCGTATATAACAAAAATCACAACTTAGGTATTGCCTCGTATTCACTTTTCACAATTCTAGTCACAATCTTTCCTTATATCACCGCGGGAGCCTTACATTTAGTTTTAAAAAATATTTTTCCTGAAATAGCTACCCACGTTTTAGCCCACCTTATCACACCACGTGACTTCAAGTAGCTTCTCCTACTAGCAACACACGTATCAAGCCCACCGTATCTCACCGCATGCGTATCAACCCCAAGCCATATACCACTGCATGCATATCAATGTCATAACATAATCACAACTCGCACCACAAGTTCCCATACACCACAACTTGCCAAAAGAATCAACAATATCAATGTTTTCACAACTGATATCCCAAGGCTCAACCACAATGTGTACAAGAATCTCAACAATAACAAAATCAAAGTGAATAGCTCAACAAGAAATATATCTCAACAATTAACAACTTTGCCTCAATGTGATAACAACTTTCTCAACTTCAACACCAATAACTCATCACTAAGACATTTCACGAAATAATAACTTCAATTACAAGTAATTCGACAATTTAAAGATGTAACAAAATACAAGGAGGGCAATAACTTCAACTAAAGCATATAAGAGAAAATTAACAAGTAAGAGGTGAAACAAGTGTTAACAATGTCAGCTAAAGCATGCAAGGGTAGATTAGTACATGAAAGGGTGGATTAACAATGAAAGATATAACATGTTAAGACAATTCAATTAAAAGCATGATAAGAGTCTAAATAGCCTAAACCGGTCAAACACCAAATATAGCCCGTGAACCCACTCGTCATCTTGCATACACGACTTTCACATAATACAATTAGTCCAAATAAACTAACTCCTAAGGGGTAATTCCCCCACATAAAATTAAGTAAGATACTTACCTCAACTAGGCCAACTCAACCCTTGGAAATAGCTTTTCCCCTAAAATTCGCTTCCTCACGGTTCAAATCTAACCAAAATTAAGTTAATATCATCACACAATGCAAGGAAAAATAATTACAATATATAAAGCTATGATCTTTAAACTTTTCCCAAAAAGACAATAAAAGTCAACCCGGGGCTAGCCCTGCCAGACCTGGATCCAAGGGTAGATTTTGACTACCCATAACCCCAAGAGTCCATATATATGATTACTTTCAAAATCCAAGTCCAAATTAACTTTCAAATTTAATTTCTCATTTTTCAAAAACATGACAAATTTCCCAATTTTTCCTCTTTGATTCACATGATTTTGATTTTAAATCTAAGATATATTGATAAAATAAAGTTAGAAATTGATTAGAATCACTTACCCAAAATTTGTAGATAAAAATTCCCTTTTCAAATCGCCTCCTACCGAGTCTAGGATTCTAAAATGAAAGAATATGTTAAAAAAATCATACTCCCACCCCTTATGACCAGCTGCATATGTCACATTTGCGACACAGGGTTCGTATTTGTAAACCCTCGCAATTGCAAATCAGGGATTGCATTTGTGAACCCTGATAGCCTTAACAAAAGTCGCAATTGCAACAAAGGCTTCGCAATTGCAAAGCTGGACACTATCACAAATGCGACCAAAATTATATTCTGGACCCGATAGCTAAAAGTCAACCTACGGTCAAACTTTTTAACTTCAAATTGCCAAAATTTGGCAAAACAATACATTTCAACCTACAGACTTCCGAATTCAATTTCGGGCATAAGCCCAAGTCCAAAATTACGACACGAAGTTATCGGAGTCATTAAAATACAGTTCCAGAGTCACTTTCACAAAAGTCAAAGTTTGATAAATATTTCTTACTTAAGCTTCTAAGCCAAGAATCAAAGGGTCCAAATCAAATCGAAATGAAACAAATCAACCCCGTAAGTCATAAAATCATAAACACACATGCGTGAAGCATAAAAAGGGAAAACGTGGCGTAATTACACAAAATAACCGGTCGGGTCATTACACATACTCTTTGGAGGGGTTGCTCCGAATCGGAACTATTTGTCCCTGTCGGTTATCATTGCTTCCGGAACATTCAATCTCTTATGACTATCCATATGCTAGCCTGAATGGGAATGTCTCTCTAGGCACTGATTTAGAGATTCTTTACCACGTGTCATCTTCTAATGCATCCACAAATTTTGTTCATATTTTACTAATATAGATAGACCCCCACTTTCTGAATAATTCTCAAGTAGTATCCAATAGTAGAAGAGTGTTTCAGGCGGAAAAATGAAGTGTGTTTGATACTATTGCACTGAATCAGAAGAAAAAAGCATCACTTCCGCTTAATGCCTGTGGCATGATGCAAAATATGAATAAGAAGAATCTCTAGTACTGAAGAGGAAAGGGAAGAAATCCCTTTCAACAAGTTAGAAAGATGAACAAGAGTCTTTCGCAGGAAAAAGAAAAGCAGACAAGGACAAGATGACAGTGAATCATCTACTACCACTTAGAGGCCTACCGTTTCCAAAATTGTGCCCAAGAATATGAGTGCTAAGAAAAACTGCATTTTTGAAGACCAAATGTCGCTTCAAATTGGGAATCGGAACTTATCAGTGATGGAATTTGCTTTGGTAATTCGGGCAGAAAATCTTTCTGCTGTCCGAGCTGAATTTTTGGGGTAAGGATGTTCACATACTCCTTGCTGAAGAAGATGAACGAGTTACTAGTTACCGGGTTGGTCACTCATTTGTATATACATTTCGTTAACCCTCGCGTTTAAGCTGATGGTTGATCACGTTATCGAAGATATGTGTAGGAAATACAACATCTGCCTTGCCCAAGTGGGTCTGAATATGTGAAGGTTCATGGCATACCTCCACTTTTGGCCTCTAGTGTTGGAGAAAATTTCACCCTCCAAAATTTTTGCCATCTTTACTCTTCGAAATTTTTCTGGGTGGATTTTTCATCGCCACTAAATGGGGTACACGCTACCTAGTTTTAGTTGACGAAGACCATGATCGAGGGTGTACGAATATTTCATGGTCATTCCCAATGAGGACTTGATTAAGCTAAGTGGGCATCTCTTCCCGGAGAGGTGGAATATAAAACGTAAGTATTCTTCAAACTTTATTTTTTTTGTATTCTTTTATTTTTGCCTATTTGGATTGTAACTTTTGTTTTTTTATACTACATCCAACTCGGAGATAATTGGAGAAGTCCCCTATATCAAGAGGCAGGTAGAAAAAATACTGACCACTCTACTATTGAATCTAGGACCTGGAAGGCGATCTCGACTATAACCAAATGGAGGGCCAAAAACCATGGTACAACCGCTTCCATTTCTGCTTTATTATCCTTTACCCTTACAAATTCCAACTTCAATACTTTTTTATTTTCATATAGGTCTCTGTCTGAGATACCATAACCCTCAGCCCGTATTGAACTTCCAAATTTTGATAAAGCTCAAGAATAAGCTAGAAAATCGATAGCATACAAAAGGAAAAAGGTTGCTTCTTCTACCACTCCTCCAAAGGATGCCCCGATTAGCCCTTCGCCAAAGGTGAAGAAAGAATCTTGAAGTAAGAAGGAGAAATCTGGGGAGGTTGGAGTAGTCCTCTAGTTACCTCCCCCAGTTGTTCATTCTCGCCTACGGTATGAATTTGAGGGTGACTCTACAATTGTTGTCATTGTAGCGATAGATAAAGGCAAGACTCTAGAGGAGGGACTGACTGTGATTTATACCATTTCAAATTCGGAAGTAAAGGATTTACATGAGTTACTGGCCGGGGACAATATCCTTGAATTGGTCCTTATTTCGAATTCCCCCAAGCCAGTGGAGCAAGAGATTAGGTCTTATTTGGGTACTAGTCAGACCATTACTATCAAGATACCCGCTGATGTCAATTTCCTATCATGGCCTAAGAGATTTCCCCATGGCTGCACCACATGATCTAGCCTCTTGAGAGTGAGCGGATGAACAAGGTCTCTACGACTGCCCTAGTCAATTATGTAATGACTCCTCCTTCAAGGTAACTTTCTCACCCGATTCATTTTTCTTTCATAATATGGAATCATCTTTGCTAATCAATGCTCTGCCTTTGCATGGCAACTTGGTCTCCATCTAGGCCTCGGATAGGGTCATGAAGCTAGAGGCTTCAAACTTAGAGTTCTGTGTGACTAAGAAGATATGCAAATCCAAGTGTTGAAATTATGCCAAGAAAGCCTCTGAGGAGAGAGTCGAAGCTATTGTGAAAGAGCTTTACCAAATGCAATAGACTCTGGAGTAGAGGGATAAAGTTTACTCCATCGAACTCTCTATTGCTTTGAAGAGGGTTGAAGTACTTGAAGCCCTCATGAAGCAAAAATAAGTATACTAAGCTGAGCTCATCACCGAACACTCTTGGATTAGTGCTTAGAAACTTCAGTTGGAAGACCGATTCAGGAGTTGGAATCTACTCTTAAATCTTTGGAGTCTGAGAAGCTAGGCTTCATTTCAAGCATACCAGTGCCCTTAGTGACCTCAAGCTTCAGTCATCTATTGAAGTTAACTTTGACAAAGTGGCATTCCATTTAAAGTCTTTGAAGGATGCTCAAGCCAGAATTCCTGATATATCCGAGGGGATTCAGAAGGTTGAGGCGGTAGTGGAGGAGGCTCGACGTCTGATGAGTTCATCTTCCTATGGAAACTCATAAGAATATTCTTCAGGAGAGGATGAATCTCTAGAAGCGCTACATAAAAGAATGGCGAAGAAGAGATTAGCCCTACTCCCTTGTCTGCCAAGTTAGTTAAGCCCAACTGTAGCCTCATCTTCTTAGATTGTCACTCCAGTCTCATCACCTCGGGAGCGAAGTGATCTTGAAGATGTGTTTTTTTTAAAAAAAAAACATATGTATAGTCCTATATTTAGATTTTTTTTTTTCTAAATTAAAAATACATTCAGTTTTAACTTCTTTGCCTTTAGTCATAAGGTCTTTCATACATAGAATTATTTTCTTTCTCTCATTCAACACTTTCGATTTTAAGATTCCAGTTAAGTAGTGATGCTTAGTCTCGTAAACTTAAGATCTCTTTTAGTCTATCATTTCTCGAATGATGACTTCAGAATTGACGTATAATATATCTAAGATAAAATTAAGGTCGTTTTATGTATTTATTGCGTCTGAATTATGATGTCTCATCTTCACTTAGGGGAAAATATGGGTGACTAAACTGGAGGGAACCATAAAGGGACATTGAACTCGATATAAAGTATATGAAAATATACTAAGTAAAGCAGAGCACCGGTCTTCGAGAAAATTATCACGACCCAAAATCTCACCAAGTCGTGATGGCACCTAACCCAACCCGTTAGGTAAGCTAAACAATATAAGATGCTTATTTAACAAGAAATCATCATTAATAATAAATAATAATGCGAAGTTAATACAACTATACCAAGGACTAGCAGTAAAAGTCATGAGCGACTAAGAATAAGATTACAACTGTGATTTTGAAGAAAGATACATCATCTGTTCAAAATTTATATGAATGGAAATATAAGTCCTAAACTACCATGAACGAGTGGTAGCTTATATATGGAATGCTGGTATAACTTCTGCCGCATCCTGTTTTCTTGTGAAAGCGGGTTTCGATGTGTGACAACACTTTTAAATGGACATTAAAAGAGAAGAGTCGCCTCCTAACGATTTTGAGGTGCGTTAGGGCACCTATTTGCAAATAACTCTGTTTTAACAAGTCCGTGTCACCAAAGATCTAGTAAAGGCTAATTACCTCAAAGAGAAGGGGTTAGGCACTCTTTGAGGTCCACAACTGCGAGTCCCAGCCGAATTTAACGCTATGAGGGGATTATTCAAACTATAATTACTCTTATGTGGTCATATAAGTTAAAGAAGAGTGGGGAATCTAAATTTACAAGACAAAACAAATTGCACATAGGAAAGGAAAGTGGATTATACATTTATAAACAATTGATACAATTTTTAAAGATTACAAGATATGCCCTAATTTAATCTAAGTTTAAACAAGCGTGCAAACAATAACTGTGGTGGGGGGTCCTAAGTTGTTTAGCCTAAAGTATCACCCCGTGCAACATAAATAATACTTCGCAACTCTATCAAAGGTAAGGGCTGCTCATATTATTCAGGAGGCACATACTATTATCTCCTGCTACCCAATTACTATCTCAAAGTTGTTTACCTAAAGGCGTTCTAGTTCAATTCTAAATCGTGTCATATGCGTGCTTTACCCGTGCCATGCCTATGGTCCAGGAGGCTTTGGACCTATTACTTTGGTAGTTCTATACTTCCCTTAGGATGCTAAAAAATGATAAGGCTAGGCGCAAAATAAAATAATTAGGAATGCACATAGTTAACAATTAAGGGCTCAAATTGGCCTCCTCACATAGACACAAATGCACGCAAATAGTTATAGGCTCATGCTAACAGCGTTCCAAATCGGAGCATATTGAATGGCGCAAGACCTATAAGAATGATTTCTATGTGGGTCGATTCAAGAGTTGACATAGAATCCTACAAACTGCTAATTTTAATACATGAATTATTAAGACCTTATAGGCATGATCTCTAGACAACTTGCGACTGGGCAGTGACATCATTGAAAGCGCATAGTTATTCATCTTTGATCCTATAGACATGATTTCTAAATGAGTAGCAACATCCTATATACATGATATCTAGATGATTTACGCCTGGGCAATGAAGCCATTGAAGGTGCAGAATTATCTCTTTGTCCCTATAGGCATGCTTCCGAAACAAGCTGTGTGATAAAATTGCGGCAGTAGCAGAGTTGATCATTTGGATCGAAATCCTATCAGAATTTTGTCTAGATGAATCACATAAAGAAGTACCAAGGTATGCCGTTTCCCTCATTGCAGTGATATCATATTAAACATGGTGTCTAAGCGTAACAATGAGCAATCAACAAGTCTTGTTTTAACTCCTATAGGTATGCTTTCTAACATCTGCGAGTTAAGAAATTATATTAGCTCTAAGTCATGCTTTCTAGGAACGCACATCGACACATGATACAAATAACTCCCAAAGATGGGCCATGGTAAGCAAATAAATAATTAGAGCCCTATAGATAGGTTTTCTACCCATTCATGCAAAGATAAGATATCCAGTTCCCTGCATTTTACTAATTCCCCAACTATTTATTTACAAATTATTACAGGCCTAAACTAAAGGATACATGCTTAGATATTACAAACTAAAACAAATATATGCCCAATAAATATATCAGGCCCAAAGGAAAATAACCCAGTGACGCCTAAGCCTTCAGTAGGCTCATTCTTCACATGAATAGCAGACCCAGATTCAAGTACACTCCAAACATTAGAGAATATCAAATTGCACGGCTCTAACTCACATATGGACCCATATTAGGCCCAAAAGAAGGACTCACTTACTCAGCAATTGCACATGAACAACTTAACCACATAAATTAACGAACCACACATGACAATCAATTAAATAACTTTAAAGCCTACTAACAGCACTTCCCATAAGGACAAGATTATATGACATATTGGCAGGATTCATATAAAGCATATTGTACTTGCATTTTTAGAAGCTAAGGTGAATCAGTAGAGTCCAGTCCCAACATGGGAGTTTTGACATGAAAAACTAACAATATATGTTCATGGTTGAGCAATTATTCAACAAGTGAAAGAATTTGACATACTGAACATAGTCACAACATTAGTATAGTCAAAGAGGCATGTCACTTGGGTCAACACGATAGGCATACAAGACATACACAAGATAGGCAAACTAAGTGTTCTAGAAACAATTCCAAAGTAAAGCATGATCCAAAATTAGCCTAAAAGGGACTTTCGACCTAAGAGTCTTAATCATGAAAGTATGATAGAGTCATAGTCCAGGGAATAGCAATTTTCACATGAGATCCTTATAAAAATAAAAACAGACTAGTAGGCATAGTCTACAACAGTCAACAAACAACCTAACATGCTAAGTATAACACAAAGATTTCGAAATCCAAAAGAACTCATGGTAGTTAAGGAAAACATACCAACTTAAGGTTTATAGAACAAGTACACTCCAAGGCTTATGCCAGTTAACCATGCATAATAGAAGAAGCTAAGCATATTGAAATTCAACTAGAAGTGTTAGGCAATACTAAAGAAAGGAGGGTTGAACAAATCGAAGCACAACATTAGATTTCTCAACTACATAGTAACATGTTTGGCTAAACATTGAGACAGTATTTGACACATAAGGTTCATGTAGACATAATGCAAGGAAAACAATAGATCACACATAAAGGAATTAGTAGGAAAAGAGTTGTTAAGGCAAATTACGGGAAGGGTAGTTTCTTAGAAGTTTCAGTACAAGAACCGAAAGCTAAATTTGGGAGAAGACTTATAACAATCATCCAATAGTGAAATTCGATCAAACATAAACATGATATTCTAAACGAGCTTAAAAGTCAGAAGTTTTTCAAATTGAATACATGAGATGAACATGTAAAAATTATACATACTCTAATAAAATTACAAAGTCACAGAGGAACTTCAAGGCCAAGGTCAACATAATGTTAGATTGATTCACAAAGGTTAAAGTAGCACAAATGCACAGAAGCATAAATACAAACAGGGAACGAATTGAACTGCATAAGTCTAAACACTCACCAGTTTGCAGATTTAACAAGCAAATGAAGGAGAAGACCAAGTGCTAGTAATACTCGAGTATCAGTAGCAAAGAGAGAACAACAGGACCCCAAACCCAGTGCGTCAGAGTTCACAGGAGCTTCAGACGAGCCCCGAGCAGTGATCGCACTAGAAAGGTTAATAGAGCAGATTCCGATGGCCTTGGGTATCAGCCAGCCAGAATCAAGAGATTTAGAATAGTATAGAGTGAAAGAGAGTGGGATAATATTAGTAGTTCCTCTATGTTGAGGAATTAGGGGAGGGGTTTATATAGTAGTTAGATTTAGACGAACAAACAAGGAAAATAGTCAATCAAACATAATAAAGGAAAAAATATATTCCATGCACACCCGATTCAGTAAAGGAATTAAGAACTTCAAACCCTAGTTGGAATCGAATTTAGGACAAATCATCCACAACTCCTAATCATGAAGGAATCCACGGAAATATACCATAATCTACAGGAAATTTCCTCTTTCTGAGTGTATAAAGATATAATCGTACCTAGATCCATAGGGTCAAAGCTATATCTAAGAGAATCGACCTTGCCATGACTGGAATGGTAACGAAAGTTACCATAACCGAGAGAGAAGACAAAGAAGGTAAGTAGAATCCGCGTACGAACGAGTATAAGGAAATGGGGATGGGGGGATCTCCAGGTCGGCTAGGGTTTTGTAGAGAGATGAGGAAAGGTTGAGAGAATTTGGGGGCGGCGGATTAGGGGAAATGGGTAGGGTTTCAGGGGTTTGGTCAATTAAAAGGGGTGGGGCGATTGTGGGCAGTTAATCTTAAGAGATCAACGATTAGGATTAAAGGATAGGCGGGATGAGTCATTTTAAATTGTTGCACCCAGGTCTTTTAAAGAGGGTTGCTTGGTTTGGGCTTATGTGGGTCAATTGGGATGGACCTGTTCGTTTGGACCTTAATTGGTCCGAAAATTAGCCCTATGTTGGGCTATAATTTAAAATACACGAAATTCATTAAAATAAATTACAAAATGGCTATTAACTAAATAAAAACATTACTTAAGACATTAAAATACTTAAAAACAATAATTCAGGATTATGAAAATATAAAGATGCTATTTTGACATAAATAATATAATGAAATGTAATTACTATGAGAATATAGGCTATTATTGCAAATATTGTAAAATAGTTTTAAAAAAAAAAAGGC